CACACATTCCAGCTGTTTGCCACCAACTCTAATGGCAACCACTAATTCTTTAAACTACACAAAAAGGCAATCAACAAACATACAGTTCACTTCAAAAATCAACACTAACATCTTCTTGCTTTCTTGGACCTTAGGTTGTATAGAACATCAGCAACAGTAGGACGAAGGGGTCTTTTTGCTGGTGAAGTTGTTCCACTCACAAGCTGCAATTGAAATAGAAAATATGAATGTTTGAAGGAAAAATGCTTCATTAAATCACTTTTGCATTACATGAAATCCAACATGAGAACATGATTGTCTAGCAGGCACATTTTTTGCTACACTCGCAATTGTTGGCTGCGTATACTGCTTCCCAGACCTGCAGGTTTTTTTTTTGAACAGGTGCAACTTGTTCTTGATTTGGGACTGGTTGCAGAGGCACCATTGGTGAAGGAGCTGATGAATGAAGTTCTGAACTTGATTCAGCTACATTAGTGTTAGGTGCCTATAAAAAACAAGTTCATATTAATGTTCAATTAAAATGATTTGGGACAGCAATTAGTCTCAGCCTATGAAATTTGTAAGCTGTGTTACCTTGTAGAATTTAGAGTTGGGATGAATGGCATTCTTGCAGGTCCTTGAATTGTGTCTTGGCTGAAAACATCTCTTGCAAGTTATCACAAGACCCTTCCTGGTTGAGACTTGACCCTTTTTAGGCTCGTCGGCTGCCCTTTGCCAGATCTTTTTGGGTCTGCCAGGCATTCTTCGAACTGCAGGAGGTTTTGGGGGTTGTTCTTCACACCTCATCCAGTACTTATTACTTGGGACATGTGTGATAGTGTGCTCATATGTTTTCAAGTAATTTTCTCTACTGTAGCAGATATGCACATAATCAAGCAAAGGCAATCTACGTGTTCCTATTGCAGCACATGCATAAGCACAAGGATAACCTGTAAGTTGGAAATAGCCACATGTGCAAGTTTTTTCCTTCAGATCCACCACAACAGATTTTCTGGGCCCACAGTCAATTTCATATTTGTTCTTGCCATCCCATGTGGGAATACACAACTTATTGACTTTCAGATTCCTATCAATCTTCTCTGCAATGTTAGGACATATTTTTCCTTGAAATTTCTGCATACCAGTCCTCTTCACTTGAATCTTTTGCATGAGCCTTCTTCGAATCCACTCAAGCATCCCTTTGACAGGTAGCTCTCTAGCTTCTAAGATATAGTTATTAAATGACTCACAAAGATTGTTCACAAGAATATCACATTTGCTACTTTGTCTAAAATGTGACATGCTCCATAAAACACTTGGCACTTTTTGCAGCCATTCAGCTGCATCCTTTGAAGCTTTTTCAAGGGAATTCATTGCAGTCCACTTCATTCCCAGCACTTGCTGCTGCTCAGAACAAGTCTTTCAACTCTTTTCCTTTGAACTTCTGCTTGAAATTTTGGTACATATGCCTCAAGCAAAACCTGTGTTCAGAATTTGGAAATAACTCATTCACTGCATGGACCAGTCCTTTTTGTCGATCTGAGATGAATGTCCAGGGTATGTTTTCCACACCAAGTTCCAGATCAGCCATTAGTAGTTCCAGAAACCACTTCCATGAGTCATACCTCTCTACCTCTACCACTGCTACAGCTATTGGAACCATATTGTCATTGCCATCTCTACCAATTGCTGACAACAACTGACCACCAAACGCAGATTTCAAAAAACACCCATCAAGATCAATTATTGGTCGACAGCCATCGAGGAACCCCTGTTTGCAAGCATAAAGACAGTAATACAGTCTTTGAAATATCCCTTGTGAACCTTCTTCTACTGTATCAAGCTTAATCTTGACAGTGCTACCAGGATTTGTCTCTCTAATTGTAACTGCATAACTCCAAAGGTGGTGATATTGCTCCATATTCGTGTCAAGCATCTCATCTTTTGCCTTTCTCTTTGCTCTACATATCTTGGCATTGGACACGTTAATCATTAGATCTCTTCTAATATCATTCTGAAATCCATTCACGGCACACTGCGGGTCACCTCTTATCTTGTCTTGATACTTCACGCTCAAATACTTGGCTGTTGCATGCTTGTTGTTGTAATCTCTAGCACAAACATGCTGGCCCTTCAATGATTTAATTTGAAAAGTAGTTTCACCTTGGACTGGTGTTGCACGAATCCTCCAAGAATAGCCCTTTGCACACTTCGCAATAATCTTTTTCGAGTAATTTTTTATCCAATCAACCTCATATCCCTCCCTTACCAACCATTCAACCAACACATATCTAAAAACTCTGAAATTGGAAAACTTTTGCCCAACCTTCAACTCAAAATGTGGCTTGAGAAACTCCACTTCAGGGTTAAAGTCATGACATTCTTCATGGCCTTCATCATCAGATCCGCACCTGTCCAGCAACTCTTCATCAGAAATTACTGGTTCTTGCCAATCTTCTTCTGGTGTATGTGGTGGTGCTCCTTCTTCTGTTGACTTTTCCTCAGCCTTTTTACTGTTCCCTGCTTCAGCTTGTGATGGGATCTGAGATGGGTGTTGGTCAGCAGCTTGAGATGCAGCTTGAGATGAAATTTGAAATGAGATATGAGGTGGAATTTCTCCAATACTATCTGGCCCTGCAGACTGCTTCTTATTTTTACTGGACTTTTTTTCCTTACTAGTTTCACTTTTAGCAAGGCTCTTGATAGCCACCTTCTCAGGGAAAGAGAACACGTGATAAGGCTTAAAGTGAGTGGAATGTAGTATGGACCCACCTTCTGGTTGACTATTTCTGTCTACATCTTTTTTACTTGTGAAAATGTCCTCATCCTCTTTTTTTTCCAACCCCTCCTTCAACCCTTCAGGCTCATCATCATCATCATCAGTGTTATTTGGCTTATTTGGATTGCAATTACTAACCCCATCTTCTTTTTTTTGTACCCCACCATCTCCGCTGTCTATTTTGGTATTATGTACCCCATCTGCATTTTTATTTGTTGTTGATGCATCTATTGTCAAATTTGGCTCCAACACATTGTCCTTACCATGTTCTAGTGGCTTTTCAAAAGGATCATCTCCACTACAGGCATATATTATCTTTGTTGCCAAACCCCAATGTGCTTTATTTATCAATTTAACATCATCATGGTCCCTAATTGGATGTAGGCCACCATCTAAGTCTACTTCTGGAGCACAAAACCAAAAAGTCACTCTAGTTGCATCCTCATCCACTTTTTTAAACATCCTGCAAAGGATAACTATGCAGATGTGGTCCTCAAGTCTATTTTTAAAGATAGCCATACGGGTTCCTGTGTAGTGGATGATAGGATATTCTCTAAATTTTTCATCAAAATACATATGTATATCTACTGTCTCCTCTGACTTGTCTTCTTCTGTTGAATGTTTCAAGGAATATAATAAATATGCTTTAGTCTCCCAACCACTATGTCTCCATCATTGATATACAGAAAACCAAATAAACATAAAAGCACAAACAGAAAACTAATTTTAATAGCATTCTGGACCACTAAACCAGAGAAGACAGTAACAATTATAGAAATTTTACTTACAATTCTTTGTTAAATATCTTGTTGTAATAACAAGTGACTGAGTTGTACTCAAACACACAAACACACACAAACAGATCCTACTCAACACCCCTAATCAGCAAAAATTTCCCATCACAAATGGAAATTTCAGAAATTATTTGCATCACCTAGTCAACACCCAAATATCAACAAAAATCTCTCATCATAAATGGACATTTCAGAAATTATTTGCATGACTCCTAGTTCCAACACCCAAAATTTTAAAAAAAAAATCTCGGCTTCAAAACCAAAGTCGTAGTTCCGAAACAGCAAAAATCTTCATTTTAAATCCAAAGTACCAGTCTCAAAACTCACAAAATCAGGAATTTTCTAAGGTAAACACCCAAATATTGCATATTTGGGTGTAAATAACATCATCAGCCCTCAAAATCTAAGATGGGTAACCCTAAATTGTAAACTAATTATAACATACATGAACTGATTTTAATTAATTATAACATGAACGAAGTATAGCATACATACCCATTTGCCTTCGATTTTCTGGAATAAATCTTCGTCTCCTTCGATCTTCTTACTTGATTCCGTTTGGTTGGGCTTTACTTCCTCTCTCCCTCTCTCTCTCTCTTGTAGGGTTTGAAGGGAAGAAATGAGTCCGTTCAATTGCCTTTTGGGTATTATACAAGGACATTTTGGTCCTTTCATCAGTTCCCGTTAATTTTACCGATTTTCGTCAGTGTTATAACTTAGTTCAAAGCACGAGGTGTCGCGTTGTATATTTTGAAACCATAGGGGACTTATTTATATACTCCCTCCGTCCCGTTTTGTTAGTTTTGGTTTTTTTTCACACAGATTAAGAAAGTGTAATTAATTTGGTTGGAAACATAAATTTAGATTAATAATTTCCTAAAATACCCTTATGCTAATCACGAAGAGTGCATTGGAAAAACTCAATGTATTCAATGTAGTGAGTTAGTATTTAATAACAATGTATTAATAACAAGATATTTAATAATGATATTTTAGACAATTTGAAAGATTACTACATTCCTTAATGGGAAAGTGGACTACAATTTGGGACATACGAAAAAGGAAAACAAGATTATCAAAGTGGGACGGATGGAGTATTAGATTTAGCACAGGGGACTTTTTTGTTTTTAACCCTTATCATATTAATTCATTTCATGATTTGACGTATATTTATATAATTTTATTATATTTCATAATACATTTACATAACTTTTGTTGGACGTCAAGAGATATAACAAAATTACGTAAATGTATACTATATTACGAAAAAAAAATAGAACAATTGTTCGAACCCTATCTGAAGCTAAGCATACCTGCCCCAATCCGAACAAATGTTGCATTAATTTAAGAATTTGGGTCCCAATTGACAGGTATGTGCAGTGTGCAATGGAGTCGTTTTTGATAACTTCTTTCATCCTTCAAGAAGTATCCATTGCGAGTATTTAGAAGCCATACATAAACGTCGTTTGAACTTCTAGGCTCAAAAGTTTTCCTAGTTTATAGCAGTAGTGTGTGTGCACTACTTCTAGTTTCTAAAAGAGAGTTTTACAACTGCTTTCTTCTTCCCCAGCAAATATCAATTGACAATTTTTCATCTCTAAATTGAACCAGTCTTCTCTGTTAGATGGCCTCCAGTGCTCTTACTTGCCTCTCTTCCGTCTTGAGTGATCTGCAGTTGCTGGAGAACCTGCATCCTGATCCAGAACACGATGATTTGGGCATAATGAAAGGGTGGCTAAGAAGTATCAAAACATTTCTTTTGTGCACGAGAAACTGGGGCAACGATGATGATGCAAGTCTAGGAGCACTTATAGAGAGGATAAATGAATCCACTTACAAATTGGGACTGGGGATTCATACCATCTACCTTACTAGTCTGGAAGTTGGATTGCCTGAGAACCTTGTGGAAGTTCTGCCCACAGAGTCAGAAGTGGACTTCGAATTTATACAGCAAGGCATCAAAAACTGGTACTTGGCTTTGTCACATTGTTCGTTGAGGCAATCTAGTAATTCACTGGTTAAAAAGGATGATCTTATGGAATTAATGGACTCTCTTCTGGAAATTATAGACTTCTGTTTTCTCCTCGCAGGATTTGACAGTGAAGATTTGGTGAAATTAGTCGAAGTCCTTAAAGAGAAGCTAAAATTCTTGAAAAACTTCGTCGGTTTTGTCACACTGCACGGTGTTGAAGATGGGCAATTGGGACCTTTATTCGTCCACACTGAATTTATCACTGCCAATGCAGCGCGCCTCTCTTTTACATGGAACTCTGACCCTTCCTCAACGAGAAATCATATTACAGACCTGCTGCAGAAGATTATCCCTCCAGAATCCCAAGTCCATGAGACGTGTGTCCAGGCCCTAATCACTTCAAAGTTCTCAAGACACCCATACGGGGACTCAGACGAGCTTGTGTTGAGAGACTTCCTAGAGTCTCTCCAATGTAATATATGGTCGATCCTAAAGTCTTGTACTTTTCGTATGATCTCTGTCAAGTTTCAACTGCAAATTCTTTGGGAGGGGTTTAGATACCTGAGAACCATTTTCAAGGAGAAGCCCAAGAAGTTTGATGAGAAGGTGAGAGATCTTACTGGACTTGTGCTCTGCGATGCAGGACTTTATCTTTTGTCTCTTTCTCTGAACGCTACAAATGATGGATTCATAAGGGAGATGGATCTTGTGTCACCTGATTTGCTGGAAAATATGAATCTTATCAAGTTAACAGTTGCAGAGGAATGTCTCGAAACATCACCATTTAACTTTCCCAGGACAAATGCTTTGGGATTTATTGATTTTCTTCTAAAATATATGAGGGAATTGACAAGTTCTGAAGCCAGTTTAGCCGCTCTTGCAGATCATCCAGTTCAGACAATCCAGAAAGACCTTGGTTTCTTACGCTTTTTCGGGGGGAAAATTGTGGAGATGCGCAATGGAGATGAGGAGCTCCAAGCACTCTGGGACCGTGTTGTGGAGGTCGCATACACGGTGGAGTTTCCTATCGACTCCGTACTTGTTGGAGATATTCTAGATTCCTGTTCACTGTCATTTGATTCCATTGTAGAAGAAATTGAGTCCATCAAGTCTGAGGCCTCGAAGATCTTTGACAGCAAAAGACCTGACGTCAAAGAGAAGGAAGTTACCAAGAGACCCAATCCGCCTCCAGCACAGGGAAGTAAGCCAACAAACAATGATGTGGTGGTGGGATTTGAGGATGAGGCAACCTCAATAATCAATCGACTCACAAGAGGATCACGCCAAGTGCAAATAGTTCCCATTGTAGGTATGCCAGGACTTGGCAAGACAACTTTAGCTAAAAAAGTTTACAATGATTCCTCTATTATTTCCTATTTTTATACACGTGCTTGGTGTACTGTTTCTCAAGTTTATGCCATGAAAAACTTGTTGCTTGAAATATTGACTTGTATTGAGTCCAAGCATTCTGAAAAATTTTTTGAGATGAGTGAAGAAGATCTGGCCGCAGAAGTCAAAAAAGGCTTGCTAAGGAATAGATATCTCATTGTTTTTGATGATGTATGGGACATGGAATTATGGAACAGATTGGAAGCCTCATTTCCCAATGATGGAAATGGAAGTAGAGTTATCATGACAAGCCGACTCCGTGATGTTGTTCCACAAGATAATCTCCACCAAGAGCCTCATTATCTTCGTCAGCTCACTCATGATGAGAGCTGGGATTTGCTAAAAGAGAAGTTATGTCCCGGAAAAGATTTGCTTCCTTCCGAATTAAGTGAACTTCGGATGCAAATTGTGGAAATGTGTCAAGGATTACCTCTCACAATTGTCATTCTAGCAGGAATTCTAGCGAACATGGACCCATCTGGTTGGAAAGGAGAAGTGCAAAGTTTAAGTTCGAGAAATGTTTCTAGCACAGACCAATGCACTACAGCATTAGAGCTGAGTTACGAACATTTACCAGATAATTTGAAACCATGTTTTCTTTATTTTGGAGGATTTCCAGAAGACCATGAACACACTGTCAAGAGGTTGATTTGGTTATGGGTCACTGAAGGATTTGTGCAAGCAACTGATCTAAAGAGTGCAGAGGATGTGGCAAATGATTACATGATGGATCTCATTAACAGGAGCTTAGTCATGGTTTCGAAACAAAGATCCATTGGTGGAGTCAAAACTTGTCGCATTCACGATTTGTTGCATGAGTTCTGTGTGGAAAAAGCCAAAGAAGAAAACTTTTTGCAGCTGGTACGTGGGTATGATGAATTGTATACTTTGAATGTGCCACGCTACCTACGTCGCCTATGCATCAACTCCACGACGAAGGACTTCAACGAGTCAAGGTTAGCTTTTCCCACGGTTCGATGTCTATTATTCTTCGCACATGGGACATGGGAATTATACCCGTGGTTTGGTCTTCCATTCAACTTTCACCTCTTCAAACTTCTCAGAGTGTTAGATTTAAGCCAAATAAATCTAAAAGACACATTTCCTAGAGAAATAGAATTACTTGTTCACTTGAGGTACTTGGCAATTCTTGGTGATGTGTACATCCCATCATCTATCGCCAATCTCCAGAATTTGGAAACTTTTCTTGCATCATCAACGTCGTTGCCAGACACTCTGTGGAATTTGAAGAAACTAAGGCATTTAGTATGGATAGGTCAGTTTTCATTTGGTGGTTTTCGTTTGCCCACCGAAAATCTTGACAAGTCTCCACAGTTGTGTAATTTAGATACCTTGTCTCGTGTGATAATTTTTTCTTGGGAGAACAGGGACAAGATATTTAAAAAGTTTCCAAATATCCGCAAGTTTAAATGTGAGCTCACAGCACCTCATCATCCTGCTAAGCAGCAGGGTGACAACATTCTAGCACTCGACTTTTCAAGTCGACTTGAATCACTCAGTTTGAGAGTCCCGAAAGGCTTTGGTAAGCCATATCCAGTGGAATTTCATTTGTCATTGACTGTTAGAAAATTGACTCTATCCGGCTTTTGCTTGCCATGGAGCAAAATATCAGCAGTTGCAAATCTTCCCAATCTCGAGGTTCTCAAATTACTCGAGGAAGCCTTTGTAGGGGAAACATGGGACTTAGAAGGAGAGGAATTCCCTGAACTTAGATTCTTGAAGTTAGCTTCCTTGGACATTGTCAAATGGACTGCCTTCGAGTGCGAGAACAGTTTTCCTCGTCTGCAGAAATTGGTGTTGGAAAAGTGTCATAATTTGGAGGAGATTCCTTCTTCCTTGGGGAATGTTTCAACTCTTGATACAATTGAGGTGATTGATTGCCCCAAATCTGAAACTTCAGTAAACGAAATTCAGGAAGAACAAATCAGCATGGGAAATACTGGTTTCAAGGTTATGACGTCCTTCAAGAGGAGTTCATGAATGTTGATCTTCCGAATTGTTTTTGTTTTCTTGCAGAGGTAGCTTACCCATTTTTCAGTTTCTTTTTCAATTCTTCACTTCTGTACTACTATTGGTTATGTTGCATCTATCCAGCATCAGGATCAAGTATTTCATGTTTTCTTAATATTTTCTCTCGTCACTGCATTGTGTACTGGGAGCATGGTTCAAAGTCTCGGCCGTGACCGAGACGACTCGGCCGAGTCGTCACCGTTTCGGCTCCTACCGATACGATACCGTGACGAAACGATACCGAAATACATGACTCGCCGAGAAATCGGCCGAGTCGTCACCGCGACGGATTGACTCGGCCGAGTCACTCCGAGTTATCCCGAGTCAAGACGAGAAATCAGCCGAGTCACACCGCGACGGATTGACTTGGCCGTTTCTTTTGTTATTTTTTAATTATTTTTATTTAGCATACTTTTTTATATTATTAATAATTTTTAGAATATTAAATACTTTAAAATTTGCCTCTCACCGAGACCGCGACCGATATGCCGAGACCGATGTGGAACGTTCCGAGCCACGACCACGACCGCGACCGTGACTTTGAACCATGACTGAGAGAACTCCCCATGTTTGGTGTTGTTTCTAAAGATTCAAATGAATGAAGCTGCTGATTTTTCATCCAATAGGATTCCGGATAATACTGCTTTGAGGCATAATAAGTACAGATTCCTTCAATTTTTTTGGTACAATACATTATTTGTTTGCCTCAAACAAAAATGTCATCGAATTGGAAATGTTCATCAGGGTTTGACAACTTATCTATCCCTTATCCGTGGTCTACCAGTGTTATAATTCCCGAGCTTTCCCACTCATTGTCTCGACTAGTGATTCACTAAACTTAATCATCAAATCAGCTTTATCCAAGTCAAGCTGTATGCAGTTTTCAAATAATCATCGTGTACATATTTTGGAATAATTGGAATGTAAAAGATGACAAGATCCTCATTCCGAACCTCTGAGAAGCACAGAAACTATTTTGCCAACATCAGAAACTAAAAGGCAACTTTAACAATCAATTTCTGACTGCAATAAAATGTGCATCATCCACTACCTCAGAATATCCTTCTTTTTTGTTATAGCTGAATTATCATTAAAGCCCTCTTTCTTGATTGTTTTTTTACAATCCTGGTCCAAATTGGCGTTGGCCTAGACTTGCTTGTCTGATTCTGGATTTTGATAACCAAGCCTTTCTATGGGGTCTTAAGTGAAGAAGAATGAAGTTTTGTGGCAAAGATAAAAAAAAAGCTCAAAGAACTGAAGGGCTATTGAGAAAATAAGATAACAGTGCAAGAATATATGTGATCCGATTTGTAGTAGAATTTACCACTCACCTTTGCCATTTCTTCCTTCTCTCTTTCTTCTTCTCCTCTAGTTGCCCAATTAAGAATCCTTTTCTTTTTCTTTGATCCTTCAAGGTTGAGTGAGTTTAGGGGAATCCAAACCAAGTGCTAGGAGTGAGTTAGGAAGTTGCTTTCCACCATTTAATCAAGGTGAAATTTAGTTGTTTCGCTTTAGTTTTTGATACCATAATTGTCCATGAGAACCTAAACAGTTAAAGAAACGGACCAAACTGCTGGTGTTTGGAGGGTAACTTATTTTGGGGTTTTGGAAATTATGTATTAGTACTGAAGACTTATTTCGTGGAAATGCGCATTCTACGAAGGCAATAAAAAATTGAGCGTGATGCATCTAAGTTGAATTCCAGTCTGGATGGCCTCGAGATTAGGTGAAGATGAGTTTTCAAAGTCTCTATTATTTCATTGAAAATCTCAAACTTCATAAAATATTGTCATGCAGTTCCCTAGTAATTTGTCTAGTTTTTCCATAATTTTTCAGTCAATGGTGTCCCTTGTCAATTTTCCAATCTGGTTAGGTTACTTTCGTTTGGCATCAAAATCAAGTTATTCCTGTTCTTTTTAATATCTTCTCTGCTTTGACTAAAGTATTGAAGTGACGGAGTTTGTATTTTACAATGGAATGAAATAAAATATGAAAAATATCCCCATCTAAAATTTGAAATTATTTATTAATTACAGGGGGTTATGTATACATTTTAAAAATCATAGGGAGGTTATTTGGTAAACCACTAAATTATATAAGGGGTTTATGTAATAAAATATAAAATCATAAATGATTAAAGTACCATTCATATTATATTTTTATCTATTTTGGTCACTTTAACCATCTTAATGGCATTTTATAGTACTCGATGGGTTCTTAATGTGTTTAATGCCATTTTATAATTTGTGCATCCTGCTTGTGAGAAAATTTTTGGTACAAGATATCAACACGGAGGTCATTTTTGTAATGAAAAAAAAGAAGAGTTTATGCAAGTGGAAAAAGAAGGGCTTATGTCATTAAATTGTAAGTCACAATAATATTTGCATTTTGTTAACAAATGATCCAACGAACACTCGGTAATTGAAAAGATTATGACGTGTACAAATGGATATGTAGGCCCAAATGATAACTACAAAGTAATCAATTACACTGACAACTATATCTTGACAAAAAAAGGAAAAAAGGGTAAATTATACTTTACCTCCCGTGGTATAGTTAATTTTCACATAACCTTCTATAGTTTTCAAAACTATGTATAACTCATACATAATTTGAATTAAAGTATCAAAGTAACGGAAATGATCATTCGTAACAGAACTTATAAAAATATTGAAATTACCCTTGTTTAAAAACTAAAATGATTGAAATGACCAAAATATATAAACATAACATACATGACACTCTAACTCCGTATGATTTTATATTTTACCATATAACCTCTTTATGGTTTATGGAGGGTATGAAAGGATAAAATTTTGTGGAAATGCATTATTCGTTTGCCTAATGAAATTAAAAATTGTGCTCAAAGTCTGGGGCCTCATTAAAAGTTGGCATGTTGTAATATAGCAATCTTGTTTTGTTTCTCTAATGGAAAGAGTCAATGGCTGGCTTGCATTATTAGTAGAGACTACGTTTTCAGACTTGGACCGAGTATCGATTTGGTCAAGTTCAGGGATTAAGGGTTAATGAGTTCAATCGGGAGTTGAACCGAATGGCGTCATGAATAAAAACTATTTAAAAATTAAAATATTGTATTTAAAATACCTAAGAGCATGTTAATATTAATAAAGGTATACTCATATATATTTTATGTTTCAAATGTATTTAACAAGAAAATACAAAAAAAAATTAGAAAGATCAAGTAGCAATTTATATTATTCAATAAGCATTAACAAGTTTAGAATTAAAATTATGGACTTGATTGAAAAATAACACCAAATTTTAGGACAACATTTGTAAAGTATGAAATATTTGAGATATATTAATAATTTTTAACAACCTAGGATCAAAACATAATATTGAAAATATTTTGACACCACATCAAAACATAAACCCGATTTTTATTGGTTCTTCAAGTTTTTTGTCAAACCCGATCAAATCCGATTTTTGATCGAATTTGACTGATTTTCCACCAATCTGAGATTTTAAGATAACTTGGACCACATTGAGTTTCCGATTCGACCGGTCGGACAGGCTGGTCTGAGTTTAAAAACATGGTGTTTAGGATGTATTAATTTAACTATTTGGATCCCAACTGACAGAGGCATGTGCATTGTGCAATGGAGTCGTTTTTGATAACTCCTTTCATCTTCCAAGAAGGATCTTTTGCGAGTGCTTAGAAGCTATAAATGAACCTCATTTGAACTGCTAAGCTCGAGAGTTTTCCTAGTTTATAAAATTAGTGTGTGTACTTGTACTAGTTTCTGAAAGAGAGTGTTGCAACTTTTTTCTTCTTCCGCTGCAAACATCCATTGACCTTTTTTTCATCTCTAAATTGAACCAATCTTCCATCTATTAGATGGCCTCCAGTGCTCTTACTTGCATTTCTTCGGTCTTGGGTTATCTGCGGACGTTTCTGGAGAACTTGCATCCTGTTCAAGAACACGAGTTGGGTTTCATAAGAATGTGGCTGAGAAGTATCGAAACATTTCTTTTCTGTGCGAGAAAATGGGGCAACGATGATGATGCAAGTCTAGGAGCACTGATAGATAGGATTAATGATTACATTTACAAAATGGGACTGGCGACTCACACCATCTGCCCTGCTAGTCAGGAACTTGGATTGCCTAAGAACCATTTGGAAGTTTTGCCCACTGATTCAGAAGATGTCTTCGACATCGAATTATGGCAAGGCATCAACAACTGGTACTTGGCTTTATCAGATTGCTCATTAAGGCATTCAAGTAATCCACCGTTTAAAAAGGATGGCCTTGTGGAGTTCATCGACTCTCTTCTGGAAAGTCTAGATTTTTGTTTTCAATTCGAAGGATTTATAGGTGAAGAGGATTTGGAGAAATTAATCGAAGCCCTTAAAGAAAAGCTAAAATTCTTGAAAAACTTCATCTGTTTTGTCACACTGCAAGGTGTTGAAGATGGGCAATTGGGACCTTTATTCATCCACACTGAATTTGTCACTGCCAATGCAGCACGCCTCTATTTTACATTGAACCATTACTCAACCAGCAATCATATTACAGACCTGCTGCAGGAGATTATCCCTACAGAATCCCAAGTCCATGAGACGTGTGTCCAGGCCCTAATCACTTCAAAGTTCTCAAGACACCCATACGGGGACGCGGACGAGCTTGTGTTGAGAGACTTCCTAGAGTCTCTCCAATGTAATATATGGTCGATGCTAAAGTCTTGTACTTTTCACATGATCTCTTTCAAGTTTCAGCTGCAAATTCTTTGGGAGGGATTTAGATCCTTGAGAATCACTCTCAAGGACAAGCCCAACAAGTTTGATGAGAAGATGAGAGATCTTACTGGACTCGTGCTCTGCGAAGCCGGACTTCTAAATTTTTCTCTTTCTTTGAATGCTACCGATGATTGGTTCGTAAGGGAGATGGATCTTGTGCCTCTTGATTTGCTGGAAAGGATTAATCTTATCAAGTTAACAGTTGCAGAGGAATGTCTCGAAACATCACCATTTAACTTTCCCAGGACAAATGCTTTGGCATTTATTGATTTTCTTCTAAAATATATGACGGATTTGACAAGTTCTGAAGCCAGTTTAGC